ACTGCAATACAGTACAAAATAACTCACATTGTATTTCAGCAGATATTTAAATTAACATGATTTTACATGATAAACTGTAGGTCCACCAGATAAAAAATTTGAAAAAAGATTTGAAACAGAGAAGTATACAGTTTCTTCTAACTAGATCCATAAAGACACAAGTAGCACACAATTTGTTTTCTAATATACTGTTTTATTTTCTTTTTGGTTAAAGATCAAAACTTAGGTTCATTAGGATCAATAGTGTACATTTTAAACTACATCCTCCCTATTTGTAATGAATCATTTTATTTGATATCAGAAATAATTAGATTTATTGGATTGATATAGAAAAAATTTATTTACATCAAACTGGATGTCTAAAACCTGAGTATCACACACTCTAATGTAATATATTCAATAAAATTATTTTATAGGCTCGGATGACACAGAACAGCCTGGTGAAGGTACACCTATATCCTTTCTTTTACTGATTTTTCAGCGATAATAAATGACTTGATTTCACACAGTAATAAATGTAAATTATTGTAACTAGATTCTTTAAACTTACATGTAGTTCACACCTTGTACTGCAATACAGTACAAAACAACTCACATTGTATTTCAGCAGATATTTAAATTAACATGATTTTACATGATAAACTGTAGGTCCGCCAGATAAAAAATTTGAAAAAAGATTTGAAACAGAGAAGTATACAGTTTCTTCTAACTAGATCCATAAAGACACAAGTAGCACACAATTTGTTTTCTAATATACTGTTTTATTTTCTTTTTGGTTAAAGATCAAAACTTAGGTTCATTAGGATTAATAATGAACTTTTTTAAACTACATCCTCCCTAGTAGTAATGAATCATTTTATTTGATATCAGAAATAATTAGATTTATTGGATTGATATAGAAAAAATGTTTTTACATCAAACTGGATGTCTAAAACGGGAGTATCACATACACTGTAATGTAATATTTTCAATAAAATTATTTTATAGGCTCGGATGACACACAACAGCAAGTTGACGGTAAATCTATATCCTTTCTTGTACTGATTTTTCAGCAATACTAAATAACTTGATTTCACACAGTAATAAATTTAAATTATTGTAACTAGATTATTTAAACTTACATGTAGTTCACACCTTGTACTGCAATACAGTACAAATTTACTCACATAGTATTTCAGTAGATATTTAACCCCTTAAGTACCAAACTTCTGGAATAAAAGGAATCATGATATGTCACACATTGCATGTGTCCTTAAGGGGTTAAAGGGATGCATATACTGTTCCATGCACCAACGAACCCAGGTAGCCCAGTTGGACAGGTAACATCTTCTAGTTTCTGGGGCCTTGGAATACCAGAAGAGGTCCTTAGTCGACCGCAATAAGCTGTTGACATTCCAGGCTGCCCGGAAAGCATCCAAGCCACCAAGAAGAGGTGACCTTCCACTACCAGAGGGTGTAGATTGCCCCATTCATCTGAGAGAAGATCCTGCAGCTGTGGGAGCAGGAGAGGGTCTTGACAGAAGAGCTCCAGGAGTTCTGGGAACCAAGCTTTGCCCTGCCACAGTGGAGTCAGTAGGATCAAGGAGGAGCATTGATGTCTCAGTTGTAATAGAACCCTGGAAATCATAGCGAAAGGAGGAAAAGCATAGGCTCCTTGAGGAGGCCAATCTTGGAGAAAAGAATCCACCGCTGCACATGCTGGATCCGGAAGCCAATTGAAGTACTTCGGAACCTGATGGTTCGTCTGGGATGCAAAGAAATCCACCGTGTCTGGGCCCTTCACCACCGAAATGCCTAGGAATATGGACCAGTGTAGACGCCAATCGCTGGTGTCCCTCCAATGTCTGGAGAACCAATCCGCCGTCAGGTTCATCCCTCCCGGAAGGTACCCCGCCTGGAGCGTGATGTTGCATTGAAGACAAAACTTGTAAATCTCCTTTGTTACTTTGGATAACATCAGAGGCAGTTGATGTATTGTACTGCTGAGATGTTGTCCATCCTCAGCAGTACGCAGCAAACCGAGAGATGGCTCATTAGGCTGCGAAGCGTGAACAAGTCAGCAATCAGTTTCAGGCCATTGATGTGATAATCGGCTTCCGCTAATGTTCAGGAGCCCCCGGTCGAATCTAACGAGCAGGTCGCTCCCCATTCCCAGAGGTTCACATCTGACTCTACGACAAAGTCCGGCGTCAGGCCGAATATGGCTTTGCCGTTCCATGCCGTCATGTGGAGCAACAAGCACCTGCGTCCCATCCTGACGTCTGGGGTTGTCTGGGGTGGTCGTATGACGGTCTCATATGCAGGGACTGGGCCTTCAGGCATTGCATGGTCCGATAGTGTAGGGGGCCTGGGTATGTAGCCTGAATGGACTCTGATAGGAGACCCACTACTGTGCCAGCATGTGGAGGGGAATTCAGTCAAAGCGTAGAATCCTCCGGAGCTCCTTCCAGATCATGGAGATTTTGGCCTGCAGCAGGCAAAAGATACATTCAGAGGTGTCTACTTCGAACCCCAATAATTCCACCATGTGAGAAGGGGTGAGGGCCAATTTCTCCAGGTTTACCACGAAGCCCAGGGATTCAAACAAGGAGATTGCCAAGTACGTCTGAGATCTCTGGAGGCCTCTTCGCAAAACATCATCAAGCCGTCCAGGTACATGAGGCATAGTACACCCCTGGAGTGGAGATAGGCGGTCACCGGCTTTAGCTGTTTGGTGAAACACCAAGGGGCCAAGCTGAGGCCGAAAGGGAGGCACGTATATTGGCAAGGACGGCCTTTCCACTAGAACCAGAGGAACTGGTGACTGACAGCATCCACCTTTATGGACATATACGCATCCTTCAGGTCTAGGCAGGTGAACCAATCTCCTGGGTGGAGGAGGTTGTGAAGCTGATGGATGCCCTTCATTTCAAAGTGCCGGTATATGATGAATGCATTCAAGCCTCATAGATTTATGATGGCAGAATTCTCTGGAATTCTTCCTGATCAGGAAGATGGAGCTGTAGAAGCCGCCGTTGTACTGGGCCCATTGTACCGCACCTTTCTTGAAGAGCCCTCAGATCTCGGTATCCACCAGGGCCTGATGAGCCGCGTTCGAAAATCGGCGTCGGCGGTAATGAGTTTATGTGATAGATATAGGGCGACCATATAAAGGTATACAAGGATAAATAAATAAGAACAGGGGGGAAGAGTCAGCGCTAAATAACAAACTAAAAGGCAGCAACCAAAAAAAGGGAATTCTCAAGACCCTTTTAAAAGAAGGTAAGAAATGTAAAAGAGGTGAGGGCTGCGCTTAGGGCTAATAACAATAAGAACCAGACCAAATTGTCTAAATGGGGATACAACAAACAAGTAGGCCTATAAAGATAGTGAAGGATAAAAAGTCCCAATAAAACAACAGAATAAAATAAAGTAGGAAGGTAATCCTCAGGAGTTGATCCGTCCAGATAATAAAATAGTCATATAAAAAGTCTCACTAATATAACAGGATAAGGTGAGGGTGCAATCCTCAGGAGTTGATCCATCCGGATGGTTAAAATATCAGTATATGTGAAGAGACAAAGGGGAAACGACAGCCGATAGTGTAATATAGCCAGGATCCAGTAATAAAATGAGTAAAATAAAGATAATAAACTCACATTTGGGAGAGCTCTAACCCGCTTTGGGGTGAAGGGCGTGTAGCGGTATGATCCCCGCTAAAGGATATAGTCGAGAGGTACGTTCGTCAATCCGGTCTGATTTTTCAGTGCTAAAAGGATATATATAAAAGACAGCAATAGTGCTTTCAATTTATAAAGGAAAAAGTAATAAAATATATAAAATTTACTTACAGAAGGTACTGCTCTATCAACACAGCACCCACACACACACACAGCAACACTCAGATCTCGCGATAGTGAATTCTATCCCCGCAGGCTAGAGTTCACTCTCCACTGGACCACCAGGGATGGCACATGGCAGCAAGGATGCCCCCTCCCTACATAAGGTAAGAAGGGAGGTGGGATATTTACTAATCTGCCCCCACCTTCCCAATCCCTCCAAACATACAGCACACATACACACAGCACCTACACACATACAGCACCCTCACACAAACAGCGTACATGCACAGCACCCACACAGCACACTAACAGGACCCTAACACACACAGCACACAAACAGCACCCACACACATACAGCACCCAGACACACACAGCACACATACAGCACCCTCACACACACCCACACAGCACCCTCACACACACAAGCATCACCCTCACACACAGCACCCACACAGCACCCTCACACACACACACAGCACCCTCACACACACAGCACACAAACATCACCCTCACACACAGCACCCACACAGCACCCTCACACACACACACATCACACTAACAGCACCCACACACATACAGCACCCACAAACACAGCACACATACAGCACCCTCACACACACACAGCACACTCACACACAGTACACTAACAGCACCTTCACAAAAACACACACACAGCACCCTTACAAACACACAACATCCTCACACACAGCACACTAACATCACCCTCACAAACACACACACAGCACCCTCACACAAACAGCACACTCACACACAGCTCACTAACAGCACCCTCACAAATAAACGACACAAAGAGCACCCTCACATACACACATCATACAAACAGCACCCTCACACAGCACACTAACAGGACCCTAAAACACATACACAAACACCCTCACACACAGCACACTACCAGCACCCTCACACACAGCACACAAACAGCACCCTCACAAACACACAAACACCCTAACCCACATAGCACACCACCAGCACCCTCACACATCACACTAATAGCACCCTCACACACACAGCGCCCTTACACACACACAGCACCCTCACACAGCACACACACACACAAACAGCACACAAACAGCAGTGTGTATATATACACACTGCTGTTTGTGTGTGTGTGTGTGTGCTGTGTGAGGGTGCTGTGTGTGTGTAAGGGCGCTGTGTGTGTGAGTGTGTATGCACCCTAAAGCACAAACACATGCCGCATGTATATATATATATATATATATATACACACATGCGGCATGTGTTTGTGCTTTAGGGTGCATACCCTAATGCAATAGGCTGCGCACGCCTATGATGATGGTATGAAAATGTATTAAAAACGAGGCTTCTATATTAATATATGTATGAATGTTTAGCGTCACGTGACCGGCTTTAGTTTGGAGCAAAACGCCTTGGGAGATGTAGTTGGCTGTGTGAACGCTGCCGGCGTAATGGAGGCACGTTCACACAGCATGAGGGGAGGAGTTGAGGGATGTGGATAGCAATATGCTTTAGCCGCTCGAGATGAAGGGAGGGGTTGAGGAGAAGGGAGGGTGGGCGAGCGACATGATTATGCCGCTCGGCTAAGGGTGATTGGCAGCGACACGTGATGATCGTGCCATCGAGGTCATCTATATTGGAAGGGAATCTGAATATGGGGACATAATGTACGTAACTAAAAAAGAAAAAAGGAGAGCCTAGATATAAATATGAGGCACGAATATGGGTAGAAACAAAATGGGGGGTAACCCCTAAATGGTGAATTTATATGAATACAAAAAAAGAAAAGAAAAAAACTACCATAAAGTGTCTCAACATTTTGGTAAATATAGTCACAATGAAATGGGCATAAAAAAATAACTTTTAATGGATATATTAAAATGTAAAATAGAAAAGATAAAAGCAAAACAAAAAGCACAAGGCTATAAAATAATATGTCCTATAAACTAGTTGGGGTATTAAACCTCCAGTAGAACCAATAGCAAGAGAAGTGTTGCTTCAAAGAAATACTTATTGGTGTAAATTAAAACTACTTGCTATGAACAATGTAACTGAATTCTAAATAGAAAAGTGGGATACTATTATCTTCAAAACTCTTCCTGCAGAACAGGGTAGGTTGAATATAGATGAAATGCCTCTAGTGCACAAGGGGTTAAACAGCACAACAGTTGGTTGCAATGGTTAATAGAAAAGAGGCAGGGAATACCTATAAAATAAAGAGGTGTAGGAGACAGTTGCAAGCTAGGTTAGATATAATGGTCAGTAGAAATATAGAGACTATAGGTAATCCTGATGCTTGCTAGCAAGAGAGGTGTAAATACAAAGAGATACTTAGTAAAAAGTTAAGCCACTTTCTATAAACAATGTAATTGAATTCAAGATGGGAGGGTGGGGTATTAGTATCCTCTGAACTCCTCCCGCAAATCAGGGTCTGCTGTATATAGATAAAGTACCTCTAATACACAAGAGGTTAAACAGTACACCAATATGGTTGCAATAGTTAATAAAGAAGAGGCAGAGAATACCTGTAAATAGGGAGGTATAGGAGACAGTAGCAAGCTAGGATTAGATGCAATGATAAATAAATAGAGATGTAGACAGACATGTGCGTGACGTGATGACGCTCACGCCGGGAGGTGAGGAGCTGGGACCGGACTGGAGAGATCAGAGAGAAGAGAAGGCGAGACGCTAAGCCAAGAAGCGCCATTGCCACCTCGCTAGCACGGAGCCCAGGCAGGCTGATACTTACCTAGCCAACTGATCCAGCAGTATGGTACTAGACAGGTCGACAGCTAAGTGAATTAGGCGGACATCCAGTATGATTCTCGACTGAGTGAGATCACTACTTTTTTTTTTTTTCTTTATCATTTTGTGGCATCTTATGCCAAAAGGCAGTTATAACACTGTGAACACTGTGGCATCTTATGCCAAAAGGCAGCTATAACACTGTGAACATAGTATAAAAAGCGATATAAAACATATGTGGCCTTGTAAGGACTCAAAAGGTCATGTTATGCTACTGGATGGTCTTGCTGACTTAGCTGCATACATACAGCACATATACAGCTGATGCTGATTGATTGACCTGGGCTACCTACGATATAAAGGGGAATTAGTTTTTTTTTCTTTTTTTTCTGTTTTTCTCCTTCTTCCTAACTTAATATAAGCTTTTTTGACGGCAAACTCTTTTTTTCCGTAAATTTAAAGCAATATGTCTTCCCAAAAAACACAAGACAGTAAAGCCTCAACAAAAGCTGATAAAAAAGGCCAGAAGCAAGAAAAAAGATTATCAGCTTTCTTTGTTCCACAAGATAGCCAAGAATGTTTGGAGCAATCATCTCTGGAATCTCTTCAAACAGGGGTTTCTGTTTCACCTATCAAAGTTTTGGACAAAGAAGTAGTTACTCCTACTTTTTTAATGAAATGTTTGGAAGATTTGTCTAAAGATATTAAAAAAGATTTGAGTGATACATTTTCTGATATAAAGGTGGACTTAGCTGAGTTAAAGGAACGTACTCATAAATTAGAAGAAAAGGAAGAAGATATAGTGTTCCAGCTCCAGGCAGCATAGGACACTCAAATTAGTTATAATGACATATGGAAGTCTTTTAAGTCAGCAGATCTGGTTCATGCCTGGTTAAAAGATATTGATATGTAGTTTTAGGTATTATTCTGTCGGGCGAAGTGATGGGCCTGTGTTCTCGCCTGGAAAACAGAGGGCGGGGGAGGCGTGAGAGATAAGAGTAAAATTTATTTTTTTTGGGGGGGAAAAGGTCATGGGAGTTAAGAGTGTATTTACACGCTTTTAAAGGGATAATTTGTGGTAATATTGTAATTCGGTGATATCACGGTAACATCTGAGAGCACAAGAGTGAATATATGCCTAAGATTTAAGAATGTATTTATCACGCTCTTAATAGGAATAATAAGGGTAGTAGTTTGCAATGACAATTTTGGAGTAAAGATTCTGGTGTTAGTACCACAAAATAGCAAACTATTTAGAATCTGTTTGTTTTTTATATTACAGAGGTTGAGAGTGTATACACAATGGTCCTATTAGGGATAACAGAAAAATTCAGGGAAATACTAGGAGTGGTGTAACAAACATAGAGTAAATTTCCTTTTTTTTCACGTGAAAGATGGGAGGGAGGGAGGGAGGGAGTGGAAAGGAAAAATAAAAAATAAATTTTGGTGTTACCACTGGAAATATAAGTGATCACAAGGGTGACTAGAATTCTGGTAATTAAGGGGGTATTTATAATGCCCTAAATTGGGACAATTGGTGATGTAGTTTATATTGGTATGAGTGGAGTAAAGGTCATGATGATAGCACTGTAAACACTAAATTATTTAGAAATATCTATTATTAATACTTTAGAAGTTGAGAGCGTACTCACAATGGCTCTTAATGGGGCTATAGGAAGATTAGTGATATTGCTGGGAGTGGTATAATTAATATAGAGTACTCCAATTTAGATATTTATTTTGAATGGTGTAGGTCCTGACAATTACTAAGCGAGGTTCTTTAATATAGAAATTTGTTTTATTTATTTATTATTATTTTTTTCCTCTCTCTTCTTCCACCTCTCCTTTTTTCTTGTTATAAGAAATTCCGCGTTCCAATGCTCATTCCTGTGGGAGTCTATGGGATTCTCAGTATGTGGCATATTATTTTTGGTATTCCAGATGTTTATGTAGATTTTATTGTCTTATTGTTGTATTGTCAGATGTGTAGTATGTTTAACTGGTCGCATGTTTTGCAGAAGTGGTCAAGGAGCCCTAAAAAGAAGTATAGATTAGCTGATGGTTAGAATCCTAACTATTAATGCCCAAGGCCTCAACTCTCCTCTTAAATGAGGATATTTGTTTAATACCCTGGTGAATCAGAATATCCAAGTAGGGTTTATTCAGGAAACCCACTGGTTAGGGGAAGCTAGAAAATTATGGTTCTTCAAAAAATATCCAGTGATTTATTCTGCTTCTTTAAAAGGAAAAAAGAAATGTGGTGTATCTATAATCTTTTCTAGAGAAGTTATCTTTGATTGCTGTTATAATCATTTAGATCCAGAGGGAGATTTATTATTTTAGTGGGTCAAATGAATGGGTTGGATTACACTCTGGTCAATGTATATTTACCTAATAAAGACCCAATAAAACATTGACGAAAATTTTACGTCTGGTAGAACAGGTTAAAAAAGGTAGAGTCATTCTCGCAGGCGTTTTAACTGCATTTTTGATACCTCTTGGGATAAACAATTGGCTAAAAATCAGAGGATAGATAAATCTCTTAAAAGGCAGGCTGCATCGTTAAGCAGAGTGATTAAGAAAGCGGATATGTTTGACTGTTGGAGATTGTTTCATCCCAATGAAAGAAACTTTACGCACAGATCTATCCCTCACAATTCGGCTGCTCAGATAGATATGATTTGGGGAAATCTAAAATTAGTTCAGGCAATTTCTTTAATTTCTATCATTGAAAATACTTTGTCAGCTCATGACATGGTAATCGCAGATCTGGTGGAAATTAATAAGAGACCTCCGCAGATGTGGAAATTGGCAGATTATCTGTTAAAAAATAAAGCAAATGTAGAACATATAGAGAAGTTAATTGATTTCTTTATTAAGGAGAATTCATCTGATGATGTATCTAAAGAATGTTTATGGTCCCCCTGTAAAGTAGTCATCAGGGGATACTAGATAAAACTTTCAAGTTTCCAAAAAAGGAATGTAGACAATATTTTTTTGGATCTTTATATCCAATTTTATAATCTCTCTAAAGCTAACAAACAAGTTTACTCTGAAGAGAGAGTTTTAGCTATTAAAGTCTACCAAGAAAAGATAAATGATCAGATTAAGAATAGGGTTAAACGTAATCTAAATAAGTTAAATATTAAATATTATTATAAGAACAACCGGGTAGACTCAGTCTTAACAAATAAACTGAAGAAAAAGATGACTGACCATAAGATATCTAAATTAAGAGATGGAATTAATTACATCTATAAGCCTGAAGAAATTGCCAGTAAATTTAGAGCGTTTTATCAAAAACTTTATAACCTGAATAAATCCCCCGACCAAGGTTTGGTGGACAATTACTTGAAAAATTCCAATCTATCTAAATTATCTGACGACCAGATGGTGAAACTTAATAGAGATATATATTTCATCATGAAGTTGAGTTGGCAATTACTAAGCTTGTTAATAGTAAATCTCCTGGACCGGATGGGTATACGAATTAGTTTTTTAAGGTTTTTAAAAGACAATTAATTCCGTTGTTAACTGATAC